ATTTAACCGGGATTTCAGGAACAATGATGGCCCCGTGAATGAAAATGGATTCTCCGGAGGATACAACAGACCTTCTGGAGAAGGGGATGGAGCAAGGCGTGGTGGGTATGTTGTTGGATACCGTAGTGGTGGTCGTGGAGGAGGTCGTCGTGGGGAATTTGCCAATGGTGAATCAGGTGATGTTGAGCGACCACGGAGGCACTATGAGCGCCGTAGCGGGACAGGTCGTGGGTAAGCCTTTGTTTCGGTTCCTCTACTTTGTTTACTGCTTTGTTTGACTTCTACTGTTTGTAATATACTTTGTGTAACTTGATGTTTGGTAGTAATGATCTGAAACGTGAGGGTGGTGGTCGTGGAAACTGGGGTACTACTGAAGATGATATTCCTCTGTAAGCATCACGGTCTTTTATTTGATTTCTTGCCATTATATTGTATTGTGTTTGTTCGATGAATTGTACTCTACAGTGAATAAGAAACTCTATTTTCATCTGACATTAGATCAACCGAGGAACCCACGGCAGAAGGTGAGAAGAGCCCTGTTGTTGAGAAGCAAGGTGGTGGGGATGACACCACTGATGCAAACAAAGAGACTCCTGCGGAAGAGCAAGAGGAGAAAGAACCTGAAAAGAAGGTATACACATCATTTACTGCTCATAAGGTCTAAAATGTTATGAGATAAGAAAAGTTCGAAGCTTTAGATTCAAGGAAGAGTGTGTACTAATTTGAAAATCGATACGGGTTTGTTTATCTATAGGAGATGACACTTGAGGAGTATGAGAAAATTCTGGAGGAGAAGAAGAAAGCCATGCAAGGCGCAAAGGTTGAGGAAAGGAAAGTTGACACTAAAGTGTTCGAGTCCATGCAGCAGCTCTCGAACAAGAAGAGCAATGAGGAAATCTTCATTAAGCTGGTGAGAATCTCAATTTGTCTACTCTTGACAACAATAGAGCAAGAATTGATAGTTTGTTTTACCTTTTTAAGTTTTCTCAGTTACCTTGACAACAATAGAGCAAGAATTGATAGTTTGTTTTTTTTTTTATCATTTCAGGGATCTGAGAAACGCAAAGATGCTGCCGAGAAAGAAGAGAAGGCCAGGAAGGTCTTATGTTTTCTCTCTTCTCACTATCCAAATTGTGACATCATTATTTTCAAGTCTTTCGTTATAAACATTTTTGTGCTGAATCAAGGCTGTTTGTGTGTGATTTTGTAGTCGTTGAGCATTAATGAGTTTTTGAAGCCGGCAGATGGAGAGAGCAACCCGAGAGGTGGATACCGTGGAAGAGGAGGTCGCGGTGGTCGTGGACAGAGAGATGGTGGACAGAAAGATGGAAGAGTTAATGGAGGAGGAAACCAAAGGTATGGTGGAGGTCCTGCTCCTGCGATTGGAGACACTGCTCAGTTCCCCACATTGGGCAAGTGAAGACCCCGTTTGGTCCCTTACGCTTTCTCTACCTATCTATCCCTATCCTTCCTCTTTAGTTGAATTTTGTTCTTAATATTATTTTTGTTACGCTTTCTCTACAAAACAAGTTTGGTGTTTTTAAGTTATGAAAAAAAAATTCTGTTCTTTCTGTCTCAATTTTTCTAGATTTTTATCGAAACCTTACTAAGAATTAAATGTTTAATCTCGAAGTTAGACAAAATTATCTACGTATATATTTTAAAAGCTTGAGTAGAGTGGAAATAATTATTAGAGAAAGTACTTGGATTTATTTGCATAAAGGGGCTTTAACTAATGTAATATATATGGGTTTCAAACTTCCAAGAATCCAAGTAGATCATAAAAGAATTGCAAAAGCTATTGAACCAAAAGAAAGCAAATGAAAAACGAAGAAGAAAGATAAAGATGGAAGGATCCAAAGAGTTGTCAATTTGGAGGAGTCTTACATGCAATGCAAACAAATGATTATAAATGGTGTGATGATCCAAAGAGATTTGGAGACTAATGCAATCAAGAGGAGCAACAGCCTGATTGCTGGTTCACTGGCTGTCCGCGAATCTGGACCGTCGGTGGCTTGGCACCTCCAGCTGGTTGGCTAGCCATCCTGCAAACAAAGAAAGCGGTTAAGTACGAAAGTAAAGTGTACACGGAACATAAGTAACAATCTAATTCAAACCTGGTCTTAATTGCAGCAGTCATGGCCATGAAAGCTTCTTCCACATTGGTTGCATTCTTAGCACTTGTTTCCAAGAATGGGATCCCAAGTTCATCAGCAAAAGCCTGTGATAAAAGGAGGCAACAATGTCATTAATTCTCTCTAGACAAGGTCTACGCGCATAGAGAGGCCACTTTGATTTATTTTATTACCTTAGCTGTCTCAGTGGATACAACTTTCTGTGATGTGAGATCGTTTTTGTTCCCAACCAGTAGCTTGTTCACATTCTCACTAGCGTAACGGTCGATTTCATTTAGCCATTGCTTAACGTTGTTGAAGCTCTCTTGGTCCGTGACATCATATGTGACCTGCCATAAAAAACCAATAATGAGGGAACCTGAGAGATGGGTGTATAACAATTACGAAGAAGACGATTGCTTGGTGAGAGTGAGTACATACAATGATTCCATGAGCTCCTCTGTAGTAGCTGCTGGTGATGGTCCTGAAACGTTCTTGGCCTGCTGTGTCCCACTATATACACAACGAGAATGATTATGTGCTCTTTCCAAAAAATTCTTAACTGATTATGTTTGCAGATTCAGCTCAAGAATACTTACGATTTGGAGTTTGATGGTCTTTCCATCTTGTTCGACTGTGCGGATTTTCTGCATTACATCATTAGTAAAAATTAGTCCTTTAAATTTTTGTTCATTTCTTATAGAAGAAGAGGGGGTACGAATCATATGCTTACAAAGTCAACACCAATGGTACTGATGTAGCTATCCAGGTAGGAATCGTCCTGTACACACAAAATTGGAGATATAAGGTAATAAGAACACAAAGAGCAACAATGATACATCATCGTCAAGTGAGAACTAGGAGAAGGACCCATAGATTGTTATTTGTGTTCAATCTTAAAAGGCAAATTACCAAAGGTGATACTTCTAAACAATTCTTAGCTGAGAAAGAAACTTAGAAACTGTTGTGCAATAACTTACAGCAAATCTTAGAAGCAAGCATGATTTTCCCACACCAGAATCACCAATAAGCAAAAGCTTGAACAGATAGTCACTGCAAAAAAAAAAAGACAGACAGATTAAGCCACAATGTAAAACATCATAGAAACGCTCAAAGGTTTCTTTTTGTCATGTTTCAGTCTTTTTCAGGAATTAAAAAACGCAAAACATCTGAATTATGTCAATGAATTTTTCCCCCAAAACAAAATCATGAACCCTATAAGATAAGGAGGTCAAAGAGACTTAATTGTATCACACAGCAGCGAAATTTCAAATACGATAATCAACAGAAATTGCAGATCTCAGTCAAATTTCTCTGGATCTAACCTATATAAGATCCATGAAACGATAAATCCAAATCTAGAATCGATCAAACAAAAACAAAGACCATAAAAAAATAAGGAAAATGAGGTAAAATTCAATTCACCAACCTACCAACCAACAAAT